AAAAAAAAAAAAAAAACTAATTTTTTTTTTTTTTAATTTTTATGGAAAAAAAAATTTTGGCCCCCATTACCAAATCCTAGGGAAAATAATTGGTTTTTAATATTATTTCCTATTTACCTTTTTATTCCAAAATCTGAATATCCCTCCTTTTAAATCCATATATTTTTAAAACCATAAAAAAATAATTTTTTCTATTGAAAATTTGTAAAGTTTTTATTTTTCCCTTTTTAAAAAAAAAAATTATGAAAAAATTATAATTATAATAATTATTATTTTAAAAAAAAAACAAAAAAAAAAGAAAAAAAAAAAGAAATTTAAAAAAAATAATTTTATTTCTAATATTTATAAAAAATCTTTTTTCCAATTTTATTTTTTTATTTTTTTAAATTATTAATATTTTTTTTTTTTTATTTTTTTTTTTTTTTTCTGAATATTTTATTTATTTAATTTTTTGAATTTATATGTTAAATTATAATAAAAAAAACCATCTAAGATACTGGGGTTTTATTTCAGTACACCCACACCAAAAACTAATTTTTTTTTTTTTTTCCAAATCACTTCACACACTATGCCAAATAAAATAAAAACATTTAAAAAAATTAATTTAAATTTATATATAAACAATACCAATATTTATTGGTTTACTATCAGTTATATTAAAAATTAATTAATATTATTGAAATATTATTAAAAAAAATTTTATTAATATTATATTTTTTATTGTATTTAAATTTTAAAATCGAATAAAAAAAAATAATATAATCGAACAAAATAGAATATAATTGTAAATTTGTTTCAGAATTGCAGTTTTATTTTCGAAAAAAAAAAATGTCACAAATGGTGTCAAAAAAAAAAAAAAAAAGAAAAAAAAGAAAATTTTTAAATTTTTTCTTTTTTTTTTAAAAAAAATCAATACTTTTATTTCTTGTTTTTCATTTTATGTGTTGTGTTTTTAAAATTCTATTACTTCATTGTTATTAAATCAATCATCTTAATAATAATAATAATATATAAAAAAATAATACGAAAATTTATTATTTTACACACATATCCATAATTATAATATTATAATAAAAAAAATAATAATTAAAAAACACACACATTCAAATAAAAAATAATAATTATATTTTAAACTTTAACAGTGAAGTTATAACACAAATATAAATAAAACAAGTTTTTTTTGTTTAATTATATATTTCATTGTTTATTTAATTTTTATTTAATTTTATTTAATTTTATTTAATTTTATTTTTTTTATAATAGTATAATATAATATATGTAGTAATAATATATGTAGTAATAATATAATAGGATAATAAAAATAATAATAATAATAAAAAAAAAAAAAAAATAGTACAAAATTTGTAATAATGACACATAGTTATAAAACTGCAACAGGCGCCAAAAAATTCTCAGTAAGCAAATTTAAATATGACGAAAAATTAGAAAAGTTTTTTATAAAATTATCAAATAGTACCAGACCATCTATAGTATCACCTATTGTACCAAAGGTATTATACTTTTTATTGTTTTATTTATTTGGAGGTCAAAGATCGTTTGTGCCATTGTTTTTTAGACAAATCGGTGTAGATCCAAAGATTTTGGGTTTCATCTTATTGTTCCCACCTTTTATATCTTTTATATTCTCGCCAATATGGTCTGGTATAGCAGACACACATAATGCACATAAAAAAGTTTTCTTTTCAATGATAGTCGGTACTGGGTTCTGTTTTTTCCTGTTAAATTTTATTACCAACAAATTTATAGTAACTTTTATAGTGTTTCTAAATGCAGTTTTCTGGGCTCCAATTATCCCATTAGCAGATTCAACTACATATAAGATATTGGGTGAGCCTTATAAAGAGCTCTATGGTAAACAGCGTTTATATGGCAGTGTTGGTTTTAGTGTTAGTGCCTTTTTTACAGGTCTTTTAATGTCGCAATTCGACACAGTAAATGTAGCCTGGGTAAATTATCCGATCGCAGCCACCGTACTCTTAATATTCACCTTATTCTTCTTTAATAATAAACCAATAGCGAATGTTTATTTAAGTTTAAATAATGGCACCAATACCGATGAGGAGCAAGAAAATTCAAATTTAACAACAGCTGCAGCAACAACTACAACAAATAATGACCAAAGTGATAATACAGACGGTTCTAATAGCGACAATGAGGTAGAGTTGGAAGAAGGATACAGCAGCAGTACAATATCATTTAATACACCATCATCGATATTACTATCACCAAATATGGGAAATGATGAATATGAAGAAGAGTTATTAGACCAAGATAATAAAGATTTTTTAAATGATAATACGAGTATCGATATGAAGATTAAAAAAGAAGAAATTAAAATTGCAATTCCTGAAATACAGGAAAAAATCCCATTCATTAAAGGCGTCGGTATATTGGTTTCAAATTCAAAAATTTTAATCGTTTTATTCAATTCTGTAATTATTGCATGTGGTATGAGTGTTTGCAACAACTATTTGGCGTTAGCAATCACCGATAAAAAATATTTCGATGGTCCATACGTTTTGGTTGGTATTGGTTCAATTTTAAATGTAACTTTTGTATGTATTAATTAAATTTATAATTAAAAAAAATTTCGTTTATATATTACATATACTAATATAAATTTATTAAATAGGAGGTTATATTTTTCTTTTTCGGTAAACAATTATTAAATAAAATTGGAATTTTTAGATTGGTTTGTATTTCACATGTCGCAGTTATTATACGTGTTATTGCTTATTGCATTATTTTAACTATGCGTTGGAGTGCTTGGTCAATTGTACCAGTTGAATTATTACATGGTATTTGTTTTGCTTCAATTTGGAATTCTGGTAGTACAATTATTAATAATAATTCACCACCTGGTTTGTCTGCTACTGGCCAAAGTTTATTCTTTGGTATTTATATGGGTGTAGGCACTGGTTTAGGTGCTTTATTTGGAGGTATGTATCATTTCGTTATTTTTTTTTTTTCTATATTTTTTTTACTAATTCAATTTTTTAAAATTATAGGTTATTTATATTCAGACTATGGCGCAATTACAATGTTTCAATTTGTAGCAGCAATTGTTACTTTTGGATTAATTGTTTTTTTAATAACAGAGTTTTTATTGAATCAAAGATTAAATAGTAAAAATAATATTAAAAACAACAATAAAAATAATAATAAAAATAATAGTAATAATAAAAGTAATAATAATAACGATATAATAAAAGGTGAAGATATTACCACTGATGATGGCGAAGATTTTAGCGGAAAAACCAACAGCAGCGGTAAAAGCAATCTAAACAAAAAAGAAATCGATATCAATAATAATTTAATAACAAAAAATAAAAGTTTAGATAATATAATACTGTCCAAAACTATAGAGTTGGGTGATGGCGAATATAATGACGAACAAGAAAGTCTTAAATTTAATCGATTACTAAAAGAACAGTTAGAAAGAGAAAGAGAAAGAGATAAAGAACAAAAATTACTAGAAGAAGAAGATGCCACCTATAACCAATTAGATGCACTTAATAAAGATATTGAAATAAAAGAAATAAGTTATAATTAGCTTTATTTTATTTCATCATTAAAACTATATTTAAAAAATTTTAAAATTTTTTATTTCCTTTTATTTTAATTTATTTATCTATTTATTAATTAGTTATAGTTAGATAATACTACGCAACCATTTGAACCAGTGGCACCAAAATTATTTAAAACAATATTAACATTTTCTTTGTTAAAATTTGTTTTTTCTGTTACTAATTTAAATTTAGATTCATCATGGAACAATTTTATATTTGGGTTCATATTTCCTTCAAAGGTTAACGTAGGAGGAAAGCATTTGTATTTGAAGATTAAGCAGCATTTGATAATACCGCCAATACCAGATGCTCCTTCTAAATGACCCATATTTGGTTTGTAAGTTCCAAATAATAATGGTGAAGTTCTATTGTTTTGATTATTGCTGTCAAATACCATTGATATTGCTTCACTTTCAACATGATCTAAAAAAGATAAACCTGGGGCATTTGCTTCAAAGTAGTCTATTTGATTTGGAGACAGATTTGATTTTAGCAGGGCTTTTAAAATATTGTCTCTTTGGGATTCTTTTGATGGAAAAACAAGTTTTGCTTTATTTAGTGCACCATCAGAATTACTATTTGCCCCTTTGATAACCGAATAGATTTTGTTTTTATCTCTAATTGCATGCTCCAGTTTTTTTAATATAACTATACCAGTCCCCTCACCCCTAACAAATCCATGTGCATTTTCATTATATGATCTAGATTCATGGTTCTTTGATATAACCCCCATACCAATATATGATTTATGGTATTCTGGGTCGAATATATAGTTGCTAGCACCACATATTGATAATTCACTGTTCCCATTTACAATTGAATCATATCCTAACGAAATACAGTTTAATGATGATGAGCAGGCAGAATTGATTGTAATTGATGAACCCCTATTATAAAAATAAGAAATTTTAGTATAAAATTATTTAAAAAAAAATTATAATTTAAGTACTGTACCTGAGATCAAAAACATATGATATCATATTTGATAATGAATAGCTTGAAGACCCTACAATGTAGTTAAGTTTTTTATTAATTCTAAGGAAGCTTTGATATTCATTTGATGTTGAACCAATATAACAAGAGGTTTTACTACCTTTTATTTCTTTATTAAGATTTGCATCGTTAATTGCATTTGATGCACAAACTAAAAGTTGTTTTAGCTGAGGATCTAAAAAACTTACAATATTTGAGTCTAAATTAAATTGGTTAGAATCAAAGTTATCCCATTCCATGTCCTCCACCAAAGAGGCAACATAATTGTCATTTTCCATATAATTTATATCAAATTTTTTGAATCTTTCTGATAAACTTACTGAACAATTTTGTTTATTAATTAAAATATTCCAAAAATCCTCTTGGTTATTACATTTTGGTAGTTTTATTCCAATCCCAATTATTGCTACATCACAAGTTTGCATTTTTTTTTAAAACTATGTATAAATAATAATGCAAACTTGTTTTTTATTATTTATACCAGAAAATAATTTTATTTTAAAATTTATTAAAAAAGATTATTAAAAAAAATAATTTTATTTTAAAATTTATTTAAAAAGATTATTAAAAAAAATTTTACAAAAATTTTAGTATAAATTATTAAATATTTTAACCCTTAAATTTATTAGATTTTAAAATTATCTTTTAGTCAACCTTTTTTTATATTATCTTTCAATTATTGGTTTTTTAAAATTAATAATAAATTTATTATAAAAGTCGTGACGATATATAATAATATGGAAAAAATTATTTTAAATTATTTTTGATTTATTTTAATAAAATATTTAAAAACAAAAAACATTATAATAACCAAAAACATTTTTTTTTTCCATTTTGTATATATTTCTTCACCAGTTTTAATGAATTTCCTATTATTAATAACATTTTTATTATTGTTTTTTTTAATTTTGGATTTTGTAAGTATATATTAGTTTATTAATATATATATTTATATAAATATTTTAAAGTTTATTAATTTAAAAAAAAAAGATTAAAAAAAATAAAATTATTAAATCCAATTCACCTCCGGGTCCAATTAATTATCCATTAATTGGAAATTTGCACTTATTAGGTTCAAATCCTCATCGTGGACTTAGAAATAATATAAGTGACAAATATGGACCAATTGTTGGATGTTATTTAGGGGATAAATATACAATTATTTTATCAGATTCAAAATTTGTAAATGAAATTTATATAAAAAAATTTAGAAAATTTTGTTCAAGACCGCACAATCCAACATTCACAATGTTTTCAGGAGGTTATAAAGATTTGGCATTCTCAGATAATTTTGATGATTGGAGAAGAATAAGATCATTAATTGGGGTTCATTTTACAAAGTCAAGACTAAACAATACTATATATTCATATATAGAGGATCAAACTAAATTATTAATTAAAAGTATGAAACAATTTGAAATAAATAGTACTCCAGTAAGTATAGTCATAATAAAAAATAAAATAAAAAAAATAATTATATATTAACCCACTTTTTACATTTAGTTTTTTCCTCAAAAATATTATTTTAAACTTTCATTAAATGTAATTTGCAAATTGTTCTTTTCAGTTGAGGTATTACCTAAAGAAACAGTCGATAAATCACAGATTGAGCGTTTAAGTGTCCCTCTTCAAAAAATCTCAAGAAAATTAGGTGCCGGCCATCCAGATGATTTCATATCATTACTATCACCCTTATTTTACTTTTCAAAAAAGAATTATGAAAAGCATGTACATTCCTGTTTGTCTTTCATTTCAGAAATATATGATAGCCATTTAACAAATTTGGATAGAGAGAACCCCAGGGATTTAATGGATATATTAATAATAGAAACAGAGGGTGATAGAAAAGAAGTGGTTCATACAGCATTCAATTTCTTATTGGGAGGCAGTGACTCATCAAGTGGTACAAAAGAGTTCTTTTCGCTTTACATGATTAACTACCCAGATATTCAAGAGAAAGCTTACAAAGAAATAATAGACGTTATGGGAAATGACTGTAAATTTATAGGTTATAAGGACAAAACAAACTTACCATTTTTAAGTGCTTGTGTAAATGAAGTTTTAAGATTAAAGTAAAGTATAGTTTTATTTATATATTTTATTAAATTATTTTTATAGTCATTATTAATATTTTATATAGCCCCGAGGATCCTTTAGGATTACCACGTAAAGCTGTTGAAGATATTGAAATTTTTGGTTATTTCATTCCAAAAGGTGCACAAATAATTCACAATATTTATGCAGTTGGCACCAATCCTGATGTATTTACCGATAGAGATAAATTTAAACCAGAAAGATGGGTTGACTGTTCTGATGTTAAAAAAGCTTTAATGCTAAATAGTTTTATGCCATTTAGTATTGGTCAGAGATCCTGTATAGGAAAAAATTTAAGTGAAATTGTAAGTATAAAAATATTATTTTTATATCTATTATTTAATATATTAAAAAAAATTTTTTCAAGGATATTTTTGTGGGATGTGCAAATTTATTATTAAACTATAAAATGGAACCTTACGAGGGTATAAAATTAAATGAAGTCGAAGAGTTTGGAGTCACTATCCACCCAAAAGAATATTCTATCAAATTAACATCTAGAAAAAAATTTAATTAAAGTTTCTAAAATAATAAAAAATAAAAAAAAAAAAAAAAAGGACTTAAAAATTTAATAATATAATTTAATATTATAATTTTAATATATAATGTTAATATGGTAATATTGTTTGTGAGGGCACAATACTGTTGTGTGTATAGTGATCTATCTTTTTTAAAGTTTTTTTTTAATTTTTTAAATAAACTGATAAATTTATTATAAAAAGGGCTATTATGATGTAGTAATTCTTTTTTATTTATGTTTTCTTAATTTGTAGGTGTGTGTTAAATTTGTTTATTATAATAATTCTTTTTTTTTTTATTTTTTTTTTTTTTTATAAAAATTGTGTTAAAACCCCTTCCAAAAACTGAATTATTTTTATAATTAACCATATTAATATTTTTTTTTTATAGTGGGGGTTAACAAACAAATGAAAAAATTAATTGTGTATCTTATTAAACCTACTAAATATATAATCTATTAAAATAGAATGAAAAAAAAAAAAGTGAATTTAATTTTAATATTAATTGTATCTAACAACTAAAATTATATTGTTGTTTTTTAATATTAAAAAACAACAATAAAAAATAATAACAAAAAACCCAATTGAATTTAATAAATGATTAATTTTATAAATGATATAAATAGATTTATCATAATATTTCAATGGTGGTGATAGATGAAAGTTGTTTTAAAAAGTGTGCTAAGTGGGGTGTTGGAGTGTTTTAGAATTATAAGAGTGTGGTATAAATTTTTTGTGGGGGGAATTAATGTGTGGATGTTTTATTAAAGCATCATTATATTTATATATTATATTGATAAAAAAATTAACTTTTTATTTTTTTTTTTTTTTTATTTTTTATTTTTTTTTTTTTCTTTTTTAAATCATTTTTATTTCCTATAGTTTCAAATATATTTTTATTATTTATTCAGTCTCTTCACTATTATTAAATTTGTTGTTTTATATTAATAATTATAAAAGATGATATTTAAATATAAAGATATAAATAAAGAAATAAATATAAATATTAACACCACTTTACAAGATCTTCAATTTGAAATCTTAATCTTTACTAAAATCAACCCATTAAATCAAATATGTATGTAATAAACAATAAATATTTTAAATAATGATAAAAAAATTGTTCTAATTAAATTATTATTTTTTATAGTAATTTTCGATGATACAACTTTTGTTTTAAAAAACTTTAGTGAATTTTTAACAGAACCAGTTTCCGTCCTAAATATAAACTATGGTGAAAATAAAATAATTGAAATAAAAAAATTATACAGTCAAAAAAAAATTATTAATCAACATCAATATAATGAAGACAGAAAATATATAGAAAATTTTTTTAAAGTTTTTACAAACAAATTTTTATTAAAACTAATATCCTCTCATTTACACTACGAATGTGGCGGTTGTGACGGTTCAAAGTGCACTCATATCCATAATGACGAAGAATACAAGGCCCATCCAAATAGAAAGAACCAATTTTCTATTTTTAAAAAATATAAAAAATATGATGAAATTTTAGATGTCAATTGGATAATAAATAATGGTTATTTCTCTTTACTCAGATATAAATTCAAGAAAAATGAATTACTGTATAACTGGAGCACTAGGAACATCAGTAAACTTATAAAAGATATCAATAATCCTAATAATAATAGTCAAGATAATATAGAAAACCTTTCAATGATAAAAAAATTATCAGAAACTTATCCACCACTATTCAACTCAAAAATTATAGAAAAATCTTCAAAATATGGCAATTTAAAACTCATTAAACATTTTTTATTAAAGAATTCAAATAAAAAAATTACTTATAATCTTTTTAATTCAATTAATTCAAGTATCAAAGGTATGGGAAAACATCTCAATGAAAACAAAAATCATTTTAAAATCATGGACATATTATTTTCTCTGAATAAAATAGGGTATGGTAATTATGTTAAAAATAATAAAATTTTAAAGTTTGACGAGTTAATAGTTTCCGCATCAAAACAACAAAATTTTCAAATCATCAAATATCTATTCAAATACAATAAATTTTCAATAAACTATAACAAAAATGAAAAATTATTAATTCCTTCATCGATCAATGGTAATATGGAAATTTGGAATTATTTAACAGATTTTGGGTTAAAAAACAACTATTTTAAAAACTCACTGGATGATCTATTGAATCCAGAGCTTTTAATTAACTTAAGTGTTAATGGTCAGATAGAAATGTTAAATACTATACTTTCAAAGTACAAAATAATTATTCAGTACGACAATGACTTAAAAACAAATAATATATTACAACCTAATGAAATAATAATTTTGGCTAGAGATTATGAAAAAATCATTGAAGGTTCAATTGAAAAAGGTCAAATTGGAATGGTAGAATTGTTTATTAATTTAATTCAAGAAAAATCATTTATCCCAAGATACTTTATTAATTACTCAGTAAAGCATAACCAGGTTGAAATATTCAAGTTCTTTTATTTTACACGCAGATTAAACGTTAATGAAAAAACCTTTGAAATTGCATGCGAGGTTGGCTCCATTCAAATAATTGATATTTTGCTTAAAAGTGGTATTACTCCAACAGAAAGATCAATAATGTTAGCAAACAATAATGGTCAGTTCAAATGCTTGCAATATTTATTATATAAAGGACAACTAGTTAGACCCATTGAAATTGCTTGTCAATTCAGTCAATATTGGTCCTGTTTTAATGGTTATTTAAGTGTAGTCAAAGCAATCCAAAATAATATGTTATCTAATAAAATAACAGACTATGCATCATCTTTTGGTAAAATAGATATTGTTCATTATCTTTGCGAAAAAGGTTTTATTGGTACTTTAAAATCATTTAAATCAAGTTTCAAAAATAATAATTTACAGTTATTAAAAGTACTATTCCATTATCATAAATCAATTATGATGGATAAAAAATCTTTAAAAAAGATAATAATATTAAACAAATTAGAAATTTTAAAATTTATTTTAAATAATAAACAATTAATTAAATTTTATAAAAAGAAACAACCAAATAATAATAACCTAATAAACAATAATAACAACAACAATAATAATAATATCAATAATAACAATGAATCAAATGGGGAAAAGCTTAAGCTATTAAAAATAGTAAATAATAATAAAATGAAAAAAGAAAAATCAACAGTCGATAAAATATCTTTTTTCGACTATAACAATAACTACATAGCAATTGAAAAAAATGAAGAAACTTTAAACAAGATCTCAAAAACTTTAATAGATCTATCAATTATATGCGGTAATATAAATACTTTTCAGTTTCTAATAGAAATTTTCAATTATGATAATTTTTCCCTTTCATCCCTCTCCTATTCAGTTTGTGGTAATTTCAAATCAATATTTTTTTATTTATTAGGAATAAATAATTCAACTATTTTATCAAATGAATCAATAATATTATCAATTAAAACAGCAATCAAGTATAATAGACTCCATCAGTTAAAAATATTAATAGAGGTATTTACAAAGTCAGAAATGTATTTATCAAATAATAACATTTTTTTACCATTCAAACACAATAAGTTTATCGAAATTGCAACAAAATATGACAACAATGAAATTGCCCTCTATTTAATGGAAAAGAATTTCGTACTATCGCGTAAAGCAGTTTCTATGGCAATCGAACTTGGAAACTATAATATTTTAAAATCTTTTATTTTACATTTAATTAAAGAACTAAATAAAAATTAAAAAGCTTTAAATTAAATAAGAATTAATTTTATTTAGCTTTTTTTTTATTTTTTTTTATTATTTATTTAATTTATTTTTTTATAATGACTTTCATCATTGATATTGTTATTATTTTCTTTTGTATTATCATTATTGTAATTGTTTATATTGTTTTCATTATTATTATTATTATAACTGTTTGAATTGCTATTGTTTTCATCAATATGTTTATTTGAACCATATGAATATGCATTATCCAAACTAATTGACTGATTAATATCGAAAAAGCTAAAATGTAGATTTGAAGGAAGTAATGGAGTTTTGATACTGATTTTCTTTTGTTTTATTTTATAAGATTTGATTAATTTTTTTCTTTGTCTTGACTCAACTCTTGAACAATGGATAATCGATATTGCCATAGCTACAATAACGGCTGCAGCTATACCAAACAAAAAGAGTCTGTAATCTGGGAATTGCTTTGATCTATCTATAATACAACCCCTAGCTCTAGGTGAAATTTCTTTTGAGGTGATCATTGTTGAAAAATCTAAACGGAATTTGAGGGAATCAAAAGAGCTAAAGGTGTAAATTAATTCTGCAGTTCTATTTTCTTGACCTAGATCTATTTTTGAATTGATCATTACAACTAAATTATCGATAATGGCTCTTTTTGAGGGCTTATAATAAAATGATACATCTTCAACATCCATTGTAAACCATCTTGAAGTGTCATTGATAACAGGAAAAGGATAACATAGGCTATAGTCTAGATAGTTCACAGAATACAAATGAAATTGGAATTTTAGAGAGTTCTTTGGGTTTGCGAAATGCCATTTATTCATAGATACTATCCATTCAACAGAGTGTTTAGGCACCTGCATAATATCCCCAGCATAATACTCTTCATGGTGATACGGACGATTTATTAACATAATTTCAATTTTGCTTGAATATTTTGGATCTTCGTTATATTGCTCTGGTAAAACATTAGCTTGGTAGATACTATGGGTATCATTAACACTAACCAAGTTCCAATTTAAATGAGAGTATGTATTTACAATGCTGTTTCTAGAATCCACCTCGACCAGTTTAGAAAAGTTGACATTTAAACTGATATTGCTGATGTGCTCTGCAAATTTATAATTAAATGCTGGTTCTTTACTGGATTTATACACATGAGAATCGGGAATATCTTTATCGCAACATGGGCCTGTTAAATTTGGGTAGCACTCACAAACACCTAGTCTGCATCCTTTAGTTTTATATTTTACACATTCGTCAATACAAGTATCGTTCATATCGGTATAAATACTATCCTTTACAATGGTTCTGTCAGAGATTGTAAAATTGATTGGTAAGTTGTATTCTATAGTTGATGAATCTCTCTTTAGGTAGCATACTAGATCACCGTTGTTTTCAAAATAAAGAGCACAGCAATAGTCATTCTGGATGTAAATTGAAGTATTTTCTTTTTTCGCCTTTAGGAATTGACCAGAGATGGTAATGAAGCTTCCTCTATCCAACACACCACCAGTAACTCTTGTAATAATTGGATCTGGATAGTTTAGCCCTAAACTATACTGTGGCTCACCATGTTCAGTTATTATAATTACCTTATTATGGAACCCACATGTATCTACATGGGGTAAACAGTGAATTGTTGAAGAGTTATCAATAACAAGCTTTAAGCAATCTTTCCCATCGACTTTGACCCGCATTACAGTTTCCATATTTAATTTGTTTATATTTAAACTTGTTATGTAAATGACTTCATTATAATTTGCTGGTTTTGAAATCACTATATCTGGATTGTAAACCTCTTGGTAATAGAAGAATGTTTCACTATCAGTACCTGCAATTAAACCATCAATGTCTAAACGTACTTGACCTGGCATTGAGATATTTGTATTGGCTGGTAATTCACAGGTTACAGTTGATAAGGTTAAAATTTTTGCATTTTTGCATATAGTATTGAAACCAATTTGAACACTAACACTATTTTGAAAACTTTGAAGCTGATCACCTTTAATTGTTAATGTACCACCTATGTTCTTATTAATTTTTGAAAATGAATATATAGTTGGTCCTAAAAAATATAATAGTTAATATTTATTCTTTTTTTTTTTTTTTTAAATTATTAAAACATACTTTTGTAAACTATATCTTGTCTTAAGATCACACTTCCAACTGTTACGTTAAAATAACTACTATCTCTTCCAGGAGGGTTTACACAAGACAAAATTGAGTTTGCTTTAACTATTGATATATTTTTACAAGGTTTACCATTTTCAAATGTTATATTTATATACTCAGGTTTGACACCAAAATCCATGCCCGTTATCCTAAACAGCTGGCCAGACGGAGTTAATAAAATTGTTGATGCATTTGGAGGTAATATTAGCCTTGGATTACACATAGTCTTGTTTAGCTCTGGTGGTAAAAAATATTTCAAAGTTTTGACACAATCTAAAATTGAGGGTAATGGTCCTAATATACTATTCTTTTGTAAATTTATATATGTTAATGGTGAATGATCCAACAACCCATCTGGTAATTTTCCCCAAAATAAATTATTATGTGCATCAAATTCCTTTAAATATCCTGATTTCCAACATGTTAAATATGTTGTATTACCCAATAATCTATTGTTACTTATATTTCTAAAAATTTAAAATAAAAATAAAAAAATAAAACATTAATATTAATTTTAATATTTATATTTATATTTATATTAATAGCCACTTACAAATTCTCTATCCTTGATTTAGATAAAATTGGTAAAAACCCTACAAGTCTATTCGAACTTAAATTTAAATATTTTAGCTCTGGTTGCGTGAAAAAATCTTTTAAAATTGTTCCATATAATTTGTTATATGATAAGTCTCTATAATAATTATTAGTTAATAAGAGTTGAAAATAAATTAAATTAAATTAAATGTTAAATTACTTACAGGTATACTAATTTCGGTGTTCTCCAATAATTTTTAAAATAACCTGTTATTTTATTATGACTTAGATCGCTGTATTGAATGTAGAGAAAAATTAGTAATGATTCTTATTCATTAATTTATTTATATATATACAAAATGATACAAACATTTCTTTAATATTCTTTGATTCTGCTAAAGATAATCCACCCGATATTGAATTATGTGATAAGTTTAATGATAGTAAAGTTGAAGTTTGTAATAAACCATCAGGAAAATTACCAATTAAGCTATTTGTTGATAAATTTAAAGATTTTAATGTAAATAAATATGGTAAAAATGGTGTAATAATTCCTGTTAAATTATTCTTTGGTAGGATTCTAAAAAAAATATATTAGCATTATTTTTTTTATACAATAACTTATTTTAATATTAAATAATATATACATTGATGATAAATTGGTTTTCTCTGGAAATGTTTTATCCTCTTCGCATCTTAATCCATAAAGACGACAAACAAAAATATCATTTTCCTTTAATTTTGAATTGATGAGGTCTGATAGTGTACGGTTTTTATCTAAATTTATGAAATACTCGTTCCATAGGTACTGAGGTATTTGGTTTTCTGCTGGATTGATAGTTTTTATTAATGCCTTAACATTTGGATCTGCTGATAACAAACAATCTGTATATTCTTTCCAGCCTTGATTATTATACCAAAGACTTCCATTGGTATCGATATAAAATCTCAATAAAATAATATGGTTTCTAACTGCGAATGCATCACTTCTATTTACTGTCGACAGTAACGATAATATCAATATAAAACAATATAAATAATAATAACAATTTATACTATAAATTTTATTTCTATTATTGATAGATCTAGTAGCTGATTCTTCATTTTTTATATTATTACTTTTATTATTTTGATGCCTTATTTTTGAATTATTATTATTATTATTATTATCGTTATTGTTATTATTATTATTATTATTATTATTAATTCTATTGTAAACTATATTATTATGGTTTATCATAATATTTAATTACACTTTTATAAGTGCTATTTCTGTTTATCTATGTATGGTTATATGTATGTGTATATGAATATATGTTGTGAAGTTATAAATATAAAGTGGTTAATATTTTATTTTATAATTATTAATAAATATTCAACTCTATAAAAAAATAAAAAAAAACTACATATTAAAATTGTGATTTTAATTTAAAAAAAAAAATAATTATTTTATTATGAAAAATAAATAGTGGTATGTGTGTTAAATATATTATATAATTAAAAAAAAAAAAAAAAATTAATTTTTTATAAATCAAAAAAAAAAACAAATTATTATATGTTATATGAAATAATAAACAAAGACAAACTACAATAGAAATAGAAATTCTATTTTAATATTCTTTTTTTTGATTTTACCCACTATATTAAAATGCTAAATAAAACAAATAGTGAAAAAAAAATAAAAAAATTTATTAAATGGTAAAGCTGATTAAATTATTGGAATATTATTTTTATATATAAACTTTACATAGTTTACATACAAATTATAAAATAAAAGTCAAATTGGGTGTTTGTGTGTGGGAAAACGTGCGATAAATTATATATATCTGTGTGATAAATTTTGTGCGTTATCATAATTTAATTTTGATAATTATTTTTATATTGTTGTGTGTGGGGGTGGGGTGTTTAATGTAAAATATTTTTAAAAAAAAAAAACAACACCACTTTCATAATAATATCCTTATTTATTTAATTAATTAAAACAATCTAAAATATTTAAAAAATGATGGTTTTAACACTGAATCTATTAACTATACTTTTTTTTTTTTTTTTTTATAAAATAATATTAATATTTACCTAATTATTATTGAAATTTATAAAACTATAATAATTGGTTAATTTTTTATTGAATAAATATCAGGGTGATAAATTATTGCTGGTCCCTCTACTACAGCCTCATTGTTTTCTTCTGCACCGTTATTATTATTATTATTATTATTATTATTATTGTTGTTCTTTATTATTGTACATTTTGTATGAAAATAAATTTTTTTACCAAGAATATTGGATATTGTAACCTCAGCTTTAACCCTATCATTTATAAAAGTAGGCTTTAAATAATTAAATTCTTGTTTAACGTAAATTGCACCTGGATATGATTTGGAAACTGCAGTTGATATAAGTGAAGATACTAATGATCCATGGACAATTGGTTTTTTAAATTTAGTTGTTGAAGCATATTCTTCATTCAAATGTATTGGATTTTTATCACCTGATAATTCTGAAAATAACTCAACATCTTTATTTGAAAACTCTTTAGTTATTTCATTTTTGTCACCTATTTTGATTAATTTGTCACTATTATTATATTTTATAAAATAAGTTTTATTATCTCTATTTATATTAATAGTACAATAAAATCTATTACTAAATCTAATATTGTTTATATTAAAAATTAATCTGTTCATTTATAATTAATTATTTACTAAATCTCTGGTAAAAATAAAAGTAGTTAGAAAAAACTAAAAATGATAAAGTTTTAAAAAATTATTATAAAAAAAATAAAAAAAAATAAAATTTTTTTTTTTTTTTTTTTTTTTTTAATTAAAACAACGAAAAACCTATTTCTTTTCCTTTTTTTTTTATTTTTATTTTTTTTCAAATAAATATATAATAATTATAAAAATAATAATAATTTATTTTGTTTAGTTTATTTTTATTTATTTATGAAATTTCAATATATATATTGAAATGAAAATTTTAATATCAACATTTATAATTTTATTTTTATTGGTACAAAGCTATTTCCCAATTTCATATTATTTTAAATTAAATCAATTACAAAAAAAAGAAGGATATCAAGAAACAATCTTTAGCAGTGCTCAAACAGGAGAAGAACCAGAGTTAGTCAATTTCACAGATTTACAATTAGATACAGACGACGAAAGATTTGTTTGGCGTATGTTTTCACCCATTGCTATAGATACAAAGTGCTCATTCGAATATTACAATAGCGAAACATTTAAAAAGATTAATTATCAAACACTCTACTTTAAACAATGGATAGACTTAATGGAAATGTGTCGAAAACCAATAATAGAAGAGATATCAAAGGATCTCTGCCTAAAGAATCAAAATCAAATACTGCTAATGTAAGTTTTTATATACATATAATATCTACAATATCAAAGTATTTAATACTAATTAAAATATTTATATATTGTTTAGAGCAAAGAAATACTATCAAAACAATTTGATCATGGAAAAAAGAGTAAATCTAACATGTTAGATAGATTTATATTTGGTTTCAAGATTGAATTATGGAAATTAAAAGTATTTAAGTTTTTATTTTTTATGATGTATTCAATCGATTGTTGGCTAGAGATTCCAAGATCATCAAATTATTGGTTTATGGATAGCCAAGAAACTTCATTTATAAATATGAGCCATTTTGGAGTATCATTCGACCAATTTATTAAATCAACATTCAATGTAAATTCAGTGGTATCCCAAGAATCATTTTTATTTAGTGTAATATTAAGTGGATTTATATCTTTACGTTGTGCATTCAACATAAATATTCAAGTCTTCGAACCATTATTATTAGCTTTATTCAAGGGGTACTTGGTATTATCAAGCCAAACAGATAACTATCAACATCATTATCTATTAGTATTGGTTCTAATTGTATTATCATCAATAAACTGGAACAAGTTCAAAGGCATTTCAAACAAGACATTGGTTTCATGCTGGCAAGTTAAGCTTTTATTAATTCAACTTTCATTGGTATATTTTTGGACATCCGTTGCAAAGTTCCATTGGTCCTGGATTAATGGTGATGTTTTACCAAGAATGGTCGGCCCCGAATTTAAAGAAATGTTCAATCACTATTTTGAAATCATCACCTCAATACTTGGTATCGAATATATAAATAATAGCTCTATGGCCATATTATCATGCTTAACAATAGTTTCTGAATTATTCCTTGTAGTATCACTCCACATCCCATCACTATCAATTTTAACTTTTATTATTGGTGTTACAATGCATACTTTTATGGGCTCTTCAGGTTTAAGAATTGGTACATTCTCATATTTTATGGTAATAATTTATACCCTCACCTTGCCACATTATTTTAAGAAATTCAATAATAGCAATAATAATAATAATAATAACAACAACAAAACAATCAAAAACAATCAAAAAACCAACAAGTTAAATATATTTAAAAAAATAATAATTGATACTTTAAAGGTTGGAACCATTGGATTGTTATCAATAATTTTTTTATTATATAATTTCATTGATCCATTATTCACTCAACATTTTAAATATCCTTTATTAGCAATATTAGTAATAATAATCATTCAAACCTGTTATAATAACTATATAGACAGTACCAGTAATAATATAAAAAAACAAATATTTTATTTATTTTCAATAGGTTTAATAGTATCAAGTTTAATTCAAGCTTCTGATCAATTTAGATTACTTTATATTGAGCATGGGGCAATGGCAATTAGATTAAACTCATTGGATGAATCAATTAAAAGCTATTTAATAGCCGAAGAAATCTCAGATAGAGTAGAATCAAAATTATTTAGATTTAGGGCACAGCAATCCAACGACTTTGAATTCATTGGTGATTTAGGTTTATTTTTAGAAACTAAAAAAAACTATTCAAAAGCTTTGGAACTTTACGAAAAGTACAATAAAATCTATCCAGATATTTTAAAGATTCAAATTGGTATGATTAGAACCTATCATTCAATCGATGAATTGGACCAAAAAGAAAAGAAATCCAAAATCTGTAGTATTATTCCAAAAACTATCGAATATGCAAACAAACTAACCTCTGAAACATGTATCAATCAAGACTGTGCTAGAAATCAAAACCATGCTCGATATGTTTTAAATTTAATAAAACAAATAAATAATCAATTTTATAGCTGTTAAAAAAAATTAAAAAAAAATAAAAAAACTATTTCAAAATGCTATAAATTTTATTTTTAATAAACTTTTTTCAAAGATAAACCTAATATATCCAAACCATCACAGTCTTTTATTGAACCATTTGAATCTTTTATTAAATTGAAATAAATTAACTCTTCATTTGGACCGCATACCATCGATGAACATGTTGCATTTTGGTAATTATAAAGATTTAATCTTTTGATGTATGAATATTGGGTGTTATCTTCATCAAAATTTGAAATAGCATATAAAGTACTAGGAGTATCTTGGAAATAACCAAAGAGAATATTTAAAGTATCATCAAATTCTACCATGAAAGATTCACCAAAAGAACTATTATATTTCCCAATTATTACTTTATAAACAAACAAATCGTGCTCGTTTATAGGTTGGATATGTTTCTTTTCTAACTCTTCTATAATTAATGATTCGTATACTGGTATTAACATTTCTAAAATTTCTCTGGTGAACAAATCACCATTTGTATCTATCATTGAAACTGAAAAAATACCCAGCTTTAAGTCAGCAGCCATTGTTAATTGTGAATGATATCCACCAATTAACCCGTTTTTGCCTTTAAACCATGTGCCTGTACTATTACCATAAAACATTTCAAAGGGGATACCGAATGCTTGAACACCGTTAGACAATAATGAAACTGAGGTTAAATATTCATTTCTAGTTGAATCTTGAATAATATCTTGATTCCCATTTAAAATGAACTTCATAAAACTACACATATCTCTTGCAGTAGAATACAAGCCGCCCCCGGGAGAATTCCATCCTGATAAAGTATTTGGAATCAACTTCTTTTCACCATTACTATCTATATAATAAGATATTGCTATATTATTTTGGTCTAATTTGGTTGGATCATAAGTTGAATTTGACATGTTTAACTTTGCTAATATTTCCTTTGTTACATATTTTTCATAGTATATTTGTGGATGTTCCGTTGTTGGTTCATAATGCTTGTCATTTGCTTTTTTATATACTTCACCCAATGTTCTTCCTAATAAAGAAAAACCTACATTTGAATAGTGAACCCTCTTGTACTCATTTGATAATAAGAATTGCTTAGATAATCTATCCAAAATAATATCTTCTGTGCAGTTCGTGGTGCCATAGTAATTTGGGTCACATGGAGTTTCTCTTGGTAAACCTGATGTATGGGATGCCAGCTCTCTAAAAGTAATTCCTCTTTTTTCTCCATTCATATTATGAATATCATTGATTTTAAACTTTGGGAAATAATTCTTTATTTCATCATCGATTGAATTTATTTTTCCTTTATCTCTGAATTGCATCATCATCAAGGATGTAAACATTTTGGTGCAACTAGCAATTCTAAAATTAGTATCCAAAGTTAAAGGTGGCGAATGATCATCAACTGGATTAATATTCCCATATGTTTTAGACCACACAATTTCATCCATATAGACAATAGTTGATATAAAATTTGAAATATTATTTAGCTTTAAATTTTTATCCAAATATTGATCTATTTTTTTATATGTTTCTAGTAATAATGGATCATTTTGATTAATCTTTATTGGTTTGGGACCATTTGGACAAGAGTTTACTTCTATATAATAGTTTAAAAATAATATTAAAAATAATGTTATATATTCAATCTTCTTCATTTTTAATATATTTATTAAATGTGAAATTATAATAATCACTTTTAAAAAATACAGCTTCGTATTTTTAAAAAAAAATAATAAATATATAATTTAAATTAAAATTAAATAATGTATAAATATAATTGATGTTATAACACACACTATCTATATTTTTTTGAACAACACTTCACCCCACTCTTAAAACAATTTTTTTAACCACCCATTGGGAAAAAAAAAAAATATTTACGTGATTAAAAAAAAAAAGATAAAAATAATAAAAGATAAAAAAAAAAAAAGAAAAGAGGTTGTTTAAATTTATAAACTAATAGTTATTTATTTTAAAAAAATTAACTCTAATTGTTATTATTTATTTTATTTTTTATTAATATTATTGGGTATGCAACATTACAAATGAATCCAATGTCGCAGTCTGAAATAATTTTAAAATTTTCGGCCTAAATCTATTCCTGTTCCTCTGAACCTAAATATATAATAACTAATATTATTATCTATAAAATAAAAATTATTTTTTATCCTGCTATACTCACATTTTTTTATAATACTAAAAATAAAAAATGATCCAAACAATAACTTGAAATTGAATAAAATTTAATTTAATTTAAAACCATTTATATTAATAAACACCTCGATAAAAGACTATCTTTTTTTTTATTTAAAAATCTAAATATCATTTTTTTAAGTTTTTAAAAAAAAATATAAATATTCATGAAAGAATGGTTTTTTAGGATTTGTTACTTTGTTGGTTTATTTATTTATTTAGGTTATAAATAAATATTCTATTTATTTAAATTTTTATTTCAATTTTTTTTTTTTTTGTTTTTTTTTTTTTTTTCAATTAATCGTAATATGACGAATTATAAATTTTATTTTTTTTTTATTTTTTTTTTATTTTTTTTTTTATATGACCTCCCAAGTTACAATCCACACACCAAAAATTAAATATTTCTTTTAAAACTAAAAAAATAAAAAATAAAAAAAAAAAAGAACTAAAAAAATACTTTTTAATTTATAAATACAAATATACGCTCACATACACATACATACACACACACATAAATAAATATTTATTTTTTAAACACCCAAAACAAAAAAAAAAAACAAAAAAAATAATTTAAAAAAAATAAAAATTAAATTAAATTTTTTATTTTTTTTTATTTTTTTTTATTTTTTTTTTAAATAATAATTTTATTTATTTTATTTATTATCATAATCATCAAATCTTTCATCATTATAATATATTAAATTGTTTCTTTTTTTTAAATATTTTATAAAAGTGTTTAGTAATATACTGTATTGTATTGTTTAGTTTTATTTTTTAGTTTTATTTTTTATAATCGGTATTCAAAATATTTTTTTTGTAATAACTTTTGTATTATTTAATAAACTATAAATATATATATATATATATAAA